TAGTCTGCAGGCCTCCACACGATCGTCCGGACCGAACATATGCCGTGGATCTTTCAGTTTGCCCTGCCTAGTCTGCGCCACGCCGGCAACCAGTCAACACAGAGAAGGGGATGGAAACGGGGTCCGCGATGGTGAGATGGTTGACAGAGTGGAGTTACAAAGTCGTGGTGAGATGTGAAGCAGTGGGCGTAGACGCAGGGCTGAGAGCAAGTCTTCGCTGGAGCGGCCCTAAAAGGCAAAGGACGGCAACCACAACGACAATCAAGTGAGTTAATTACATCTCCGGATGTGGCCCGTGGGTGGGTGGATGACGGGGGAGCTGAGCCGGCCCCCGTGGGCGGCTTGACATGTGGAGACATACATTCCGCTGGCAAAACATGAAATGACATATAATTCAACGATCGGATGGCACTCGAGACTTTAAAGCATCTGGAGTCGAGCTCTGTCTCGATGAAACGATATCGAGAACCAGCAGACGAATGATATGCAGAGTCCAATCCATCGTATGCAAATCTACCGATGAGGAAGCTCTTGCGAGCATCTTGAATTTTGGCCAACCAAAGACATATTGTTACGACACGATTTGCCCTGCCTAAGCAGCCACGACCCTCAGCACTGCCTCGCTACCCAAGTCGATTACAAGACATGCAGCGCCAGTCCGAAGAGCGAATCAGCAAGAAACAGCTTGATCGCCTGTGCTGCTTGAGTCGAAACACCGCATGCGATGAGGTACAATATCTCGAATGGGCCTCACCGTCCCTCCAGGACCAGAATACCCAGCCAAGGACGTGAACACGTTCGTCACGCGCTTGTTCCCCAACTCTTTTTCAGCAAAGATTGAAGATGCGAGGTTTCGGCGCCATGGTATTTGCTTGAATCGAAGGACTTCTATACCAGGCCTATTTGATTGTATTGGTTTGGGGCGTGTTGGGATAGCATTTTGAGTACATGATTTGTACGTGAGGTTTGGAGCGGAATCCCAGGCCGTGTGGCTTGGAGAGGTGGCCTAAATGCTTTGATATCTGGGTCGATTGCCGCTTCCCAGCACGGTCCATTCTTTTACTACGTTCCATCTTGTGCCTACGAAGTTACACTCCAGTAAAGCCTTCACACTGGCCAGTAGCCAAGTTGCAACATCAATGCATCACCATATATAAGCATAACAGTGGGATAACAAAGGAATGTCACTTCAATTCTGCGCCTCACCGCAACATCGCCACCTTGCAATATCTAATACACAAAGGCAGAGCATAGCGGGCCTCGTATATTAAAGCCAACGGCTTAGTGTCACCGAGTCCATCCTACCAAAACCGTCGAGCTCTATCAGCCTTCCTCACCCGTTCATATCTGGAACACCTCGTACAAAGGCTAAAAACCGTCCGCTCCTTCATTAACTACATCCCCTTTGCAGCGAGTGATCAATAAGATACGAGCCAGGTGCCAACCTCCCAACGTAAGTCCATGCCGGATCCCAACTGCCTCACAGGGCAACATTGATGCGAAGACAGGTCACAATGCCCACGAATGGAAGCAACCCAGATCTGCTGCATTTATACCACAAAAAAAAAATAATAGTGCACGGTGTAGCTGTAGTAATGACACAAGGGAGAAGCAAAAAAAAAAAAAGTTAAATGCCTTCAAAGTCGCCGCCTAGATCATCCTCGTCTAGGTCGCCTTCCTGTATCTCCTTGACCATTTCGCGTTCACGCTCTCGTGCCTCCTGGGCATTTTTAAGCTCCAGGCGGTGCTGATTCATCGGGAAACGCATAGCCTTGAGGTGGAGGACTGGTTAGCTTGCTCCTGCGTCGCGAATTCTGCACTATAGGGTGATGACATACCTTGACGCTCTCGTCATGCAGGGCGAGACAAGCTCGAATTCGATCATGGAATGCCTCTCCGGGCTCTCGCGTGGCGTAGACATCTCCGACCTCCTTGCTCTTCATAAATCCACGCTCACGATCCAGAGTGGCTTCAATAACACCATCTCTGATGGCCTTGGCTACGATGTATTCGGCAGACTCTTCGCTGCCAAGGTGGAGGCGGATACAGATATCCCGCAGCGAGATGCGAGAATAGGATAGCGACATCATACGTATACCCGTCTTAATGACATTCTGTCGAAGACGAAGGATGAGGGAGTAGGTCCCATCACGTCGAAACGTATCAGCGTGGTCTGCAATCGTCGTCTCAAAGTCTTCTAGGTTGCCGACACGGACAGCTTGCACAAGCAAGAAGTATGGGTGGAGAGCGTCCTCCAGAGCAGGCTGTCGGAAGGTGGCTCTTTCGGGAATATCACCCATCAACAATTCAACAACCATCAGAAGCTTGGTTGCCGTCTGTGAGAAGCCAACAGCGCAACTACTGGACGGGGCCTTGCGAGTGGCGGCAGTCAGATGCTCGTGAGCCTCCGTGTATCGCAGCTGGATTGCCCTGATGCGACCAAGGTAGTACAAAAACCGGGCCACCTGGTTATTAACCGCATTCTCGGGAAACTGAGTATGAGAGACGAGCAAATCAGCCTGGCTGATATGCGAAGTCAAGAGGTAGTTTCGCAAGAGCAGCACAATGACTGATGCCTGAGTGTCGATATCCTTTCGCAGTACGGCGGTCCGCAAAGCAGCTAGCAGGGTTGGGCGGATGGAGACGATTGGCGACTCGGGGGATGGTGGCAGGGGTCCGATGTGCTCGCAGAAGAGAGAATAGTAAAAGTAGACCTTGGCAGAGAGACAGTCGAGAGTGCGACGGTTCAGGGACTGGATGCGGTCTGAAAGATATTTGGAGAAGTCTGCACCCTGCTGATACTTCTTCGTATCGAAAAGATGGACTTGGATGAGGATTCCGAGGAAAATGTCAATCTCCGGGATGATCTCCTTGTTCTCCTTCTTGCCGTTCTTGGAAGCCTTGGTATCAACAGAGTCAACATCCATTTCGGAACCAGACTGGCGGCCCAGAGGCATACTCTCCCGGCCGATGGCAACCAGAAGAGTTTTCGCAATGTTGCCGGATGTGATGGTAGCCGGGAAGGTGTCGACGATGGCTTGGCCAATAATTTCTGCCGTCAGGTGTTTGCGAATCAGGGAGATGGATCGAAGGGCTCGTAGAGAAAACCTAGCATCGAACAATGCAACAGCGCGATCTAACAATGCAAAGTTGCTTTTGATGTCTATAGCGCCACGGAAAGAATCCTCTTGTCAGCGACTCATGACCAGTAGACCATGGGCATATCTCCTCCATGACGGCTAGTCATCCCCTTTGTCCAGTGCGAGGCGAAATATGCCCAACTTTTTTTTTCTTCGACTTACCTGCTACTGTTTGGACAACAGGATCAACCTTGGCCTCACCGTTTTCGGCTGTGTCCTCACCACTCATCGACACGTCACCGTCCGCATCGTGAGGCTGCTTGGAAGCTTGTTTTGAACCCTTTGATGGGGGCACTACGACTGTCATCTCCTCGTCGCCATCCTTGGTACCCTTCTTGCCTTTGGTCTTACCAGCGTCTTTCATGTCGATGTCGCCGTTACTCCTGATGCCGTTTTCGATCGGCTCATTGCCGTTGCTCTTGGGCGTCTTGCCGGGCATTGCGGCCGGTGCTAACTGGTGTACCTCGAGCCCGACGGGGAGCAGACTAGCTGTACTGAAAAACAGGAACGATGACAAGCGACAATGGAGGGCAGTAGGAGTTGCTGCAAGTTCACCGGGCGCTCGTGCGTGCTCGGCTGCAAGGTCTGGTGTTTCCTCTCGGCCTAGGGCGGCGCGCACGAAAGTGGACGGCGAGGCGGATAATTAGGAGAGAGAAACAAGTATCAAGCAAGCACCCAGGTTCGACACTGCTGCAGACTGTACGTGGTGAGAGGCGATTGCACAGCAATTCGATGGGTTGGGCGATAGAACGAGGCCTGGTGTCTGGTGTCTGATGCGTCGTGGTTGTTTGGGCCTTCAGGTGCAAGAAGGTTCGAGCTCGAGATTGGAGCGACCACCTTTTGGGTCACGGAGCAGCGGCGCCGGTGCAGGCGACATGAGCCAGGCGAGATTTGAGGCAAAAAGGGTACTTGGGACCAGGCGGCCGTGCGCACGCGACGCCAGGTACCGCCTCGCACCTGCCCACACACACATCCACCTGGCTTGGGGTCCTGCGCTGCATGGAAGCCGCTCGCCTCAAAGCATCGTTGGCTACTGTGGAGCCGCCAGGCGGCACTGAAGTGACGTTTTCGACCTCGTGCCTAATCTGCTTACACAGTTCACGGGCTCCTGTGCTGCTTACATAAGTAACTGGGCGCAGCTGGTGCGTTTCCATACAGTGCGACAATATTGCACCATTCATTTCCTTCCACCAGCGGCAATGTGGCATGGTTGAACGTGGTCAAGTCCATTCTTCTTGTCTATTAATCGCTCGTCATCTACATCGAGCTATAGGTAGCTGTGTTTTGCAGCTGGGAATGACATGATACCCACTATGGTCCATGGTGAATCAGTGTCAGCACTACCATGCATGACAGTATTTTCTCTCGGCCTACGAAGCTGACATCGCAGCTACTAGAGGTGTCTTGGGATATTGCGCATTTGAACGTGATAAGAACCCCGTATCTCCGTAAAGACAAATGAGCCTTCCAAACGCCATTCCTACTGCCCAGCCTTTACCCATAGAAACATGTAAGCGGCAAAAACACCAAAAGATATCTTGACTTCGTATCACCCATCAATGACGCCTTACGGCTCACCCTTCCCCGGCATCACCTTGGCTGCTTGTACCGCACTCATCTTTGCAATCCAGCCAGGTGAAGGTTGCACCTTACGGACCGTGCGAAGTTCATCCGATGAATACCCAGGAACTCGAATGTTATACGCGCGCTCAAGAACTAACTGGATATCGCGAATCTCCAGCACTTTGGACCCCCGCTCCTTAGCATTACGACACGCAGAGTGCAGCACTGTGTCTACAAAAGAATCGGCCATGCTCAGGATACTCTGTGCGCAGAGAGGGAATATTAGCTCTTACACCTTTACTGTGGCTCACATGGATTACTAGGTGCCAGGTAATTGTCTCTTACCTCTTCGACTTCTGGCGTCAGAAGATTGCCGTCTTGAGAGTCACCAGAGCCCCCGCAAACTTGTCGAACAAGTTCATCGAGCTTCTTCTTGCTCAAAACGTGGTCCCCTTCAGCATCATGGCTGTAGGCGGGGATCCGCGCTACCGGGGGCTGGTTCATTACACCTCCAAGAGTGCCGCTTCCTTGTGACATGGTTGGACGTCCTGCCGATACGCCTCCGCCAACGGTAACGCCTTGCGGGACAGCAGTTGCCTTTTCTGGTAGTTGCTTCGGGATCGGCATCTTCGCTTGAAATCCTGTTTGTGTTTGCGTAGGGTGGGCGTGAGGATGACCTTGTTGTTGTTGTTGTTGTTGCGATTGTTGTTGTTGCACAGCACCAGGCACAACAGCACCCTGATTCACTGCTCCACCGACACCACCTGCACCAGAAGTAGCGGCTTGACTCTGAGCTGGAGTGGTACTTGGTGTGCTTGCTGCCCTTTGGTTTGCAAGATTCATCGCAGCAGAATGACTCAGAGCACGAGTTGGACCTCCCGCAGTAGCAGGTGTGGCCGACTGAGGAGTTTGTACTCTTGCAGTTGCCTGGCCTTGTGCAGCAGCCTGCGCCTGGGCAGTGTTGACAGGAGGTGGATGAGGCTGCTCGGTTTTGGCTTGGGCTTGTCCTTGGGGTTGCTGTGCTGGTTGAGGTACAGGGCGCGGTTGGCTTTGCGCCGGTGTCGGTGTTGGTGTAGGAGTTCCGTTTGCTGGAGGCGGGCGATTCGCAGCTGCCCGGTTTTGCTGGGTCTTTGCGGCCTCAACGGCTGCGTTGACGGACGCCGTGACATTCTGTGTAGCAGCTTGAGCATTGTTTTCTGCCGCACTAGGGGTCGCCTGTGTGTTATTTTGCTGGCTTCCCGATGTTGCTGGGGCGGTGCCATTTTGACTCGCCTGTGCGCCTGCTTGTTGATGGTTTGCAAAAAGCTCCTGCTGTCTTCGAGCATTCTCCACCCATTTGTGAGCATCCTGATAGTACTTTAGTTGTGTGTCTCTTCTGATCTGATATTGCCGAAGCTCTTCGTCTTGAAGCGGTCTTCCGGCATCACTCCTTTCTTTAAAGAGTTTTTCCATGCCAGCAACTTTTGCCTTGCTACCGTCCATGGTAAGTATTGCTCGTGCATATTTGTCTTTCATGTCTTCGATCCACTTGGTAATTTCGGCCGCAGGTTTACCTGCGAACTGAGGAGGTGGGCGCCAGGTAATTTTATTGACATGCTGCAAGACGTGATCGGGAATCTTTAATCGCGGTGCCGTCGTTGCCGTCGCTGTCGTTGCTGGCCCAGCCGCAACTGCAGTTCCAGGCTGAGGATTCTGGTTTTGAGTTGGGCCTGCGGCGCTGGCGGGGGCAGCCTGTCCCTGTGAGCCTTGACTGGTTGCTGGAGCCTGTTGAGGTTTTTGTTGAGTAGTCGTTGGCGTTCCTGCGGCTTGCCCGGAGGGATTTGACTGTCCAGATGATGGTCGTGCAGGCTGTCCCCCTGGTTGACCCTGTTGCGCCTGCTGTTGTTGCTGAGCTTGGCTCCTTCTCACTTGAATCTTATTAACAAGCATTTTTGAAAATTCAATAATCTTTTGTCTCGCTGCGATCTGTTCTGGGCTGTTTGCGGGTGAGGTATTAGCCTTGTTCCACAACCCTTTAAGACCTTGTTCGTATTTGTTCTTCTCTTCCTCGCTCAACATTGGAAGATTCCTGATCTGGTTTGGCTGGTACATCGGCGGCGGTCGCGGCTGCTGATTAGCAGCGCCTGGCTGGCCTTGCGCCGGGGCCTGCTGGGGAGCTTGTCCTTGTGCGGGATTCATTTTGTCGTCGTCACGGTCGATGGAGGGTCGAGACGGACAGAATGCTGGGGAATCAACTCCCCGACTAACGGGTTGCTGGCACAGTCGACTAGGATTCTTAGTTTTTGAAAGAAGAGGTACAATATTTGAAACAGAGTTGGATATTGGGACGACCGCGATGGAGATCTCTTCAACGCGATACCGCACAGTTCAAACGTCGTGACAACAGGTATACAGGTCGTTCAGTGCGACGTCTGGTTGTTATGACGAAGATATGGGTCGGAAAATCTACCGGCCCTATCCCATCGGTCGCTTATGTAATACTTGGAGTCCTACCCTATTACATCTTCTCACAGCGAACTGCCTTCATGTGATTCCACAAAAAGGCACATGAAAATATATAGTATTCTCGTATTTTCGATGTGTGAACGTATTATTCGTAGCCGGGAATAGCGAATGGTAGTCTCGCCCTAATACATTGCGAGCTTTTGCGCTGCAGCCTCAATTGTCACCCAACGAACGACGACGGCGAAAATTTAACACAGCTGACCATTCAAGGGATCTAGGCAGGCAGATGGATATCGCGCGATATATTAGCAGGCAACTACTGGTTACCCAGTAGGTATTAGGTGGTTAGTCGAGTAGCATTTGCTTGGTGATGGGCAGAATATCTCGCCAAATATGCACACGTAGCAGGACCACGCAAATTCGTTTCACCCACGTGCCATGCGTCTAGAATATTCCAATGCCTCGTTTGTGGAGGCACGAAGTAGTAGCAATTACCATTTTCTGATACCAACATGGAAATGCCTAATGCACCACACCCACCACATTTATCGCGTCGATGCAACGATGCAACAGCGTATCATCCCTGTCGTTATAGCATACGGCTTATTCCATCGTGTGCTGTTGGGACAAGTCCAGCCATTTCATTTCATAGCACTTTATCGTGCCAAGTGTATGTATGACAAACCAAAACTGCGACAGACAATATGCTGACGAAGAAGGCAATCAGGGCCTCCCAGGTACGGTTGTCATATTACCAGTAGTAAAGACAAGAGGCAGCAATGACACTCCTCTGTATTGTTCGGGAGATGGATGTGCTCTTCGTTCACACGAGCAACGCAGGCAATTTGGATCGTTGTCTCACGGCTCAGTCGCCCGAATCTGAAACGCAAGTCATCCAAGGACCGGGCAAAACATCCGAGACTCCCTCAAACAGGACAGAGCATGACACTGTCAACAACCATCACATTACCCCATATATTAATGTCCATGGATGACTCTCGCCAAAGGTGACCACCCTGTCGCTATGTACATACCCGGGTACATAGCATTCTGCCACAGGCCGACGTAGCAAAAAAAGGGCTGTTGTGTCCTACCCAGGCTCCGGCATCTAGATGGCGCTTAGGCATGATACAATTGATGATTGCCGAAGGAAAATTTTTTCTTCCTTTCGCCATCTTGGTCTACTGCGCATGGGCTGGTTTGCCAACCTCTCATCCTCTTTCTTACTGGCGGAGAGACCTACTTCGCTGCGAGTCTATGGGCACTCGGGAGGTGACGGCTTGCGATAGTCGGAGCGCATTGCTGCCCAAAGGTGGTCCATTATCGTGCATTACGGCCCATGAAGCCCTGCACCGGGGGTAATCAGTAAAACACTACGACATCCCGTTGGCTAAATGCATATCAACAAAGGGGCCGTGGACTTGCGACATGGCGCTGATTTCTGTGCAAGTGGAACGGCAGTGCGTCGTCTTGGTCCCTTGTTGGTCCTCGAGAGCGACCCCAGTGATGGTCCATTTGCGAAGTGTCTGGTGGTGTTTGCTCAACATGGCAGTCAACGTTGGACCAACGCAACCTCCATCCGCAGTAGGCACCAAGTAGTAGTATATAATGTTGGACGTGGCCGCAGTTCCCGGTGTCTGACGGAGGTGAAAGGGACGATGAACACCACCATGGGGATGGAGGATTAGTCGGCGTCCTTTGTGTGCCGCCGCCACCAGTCCCATCAGCTCGCCCGAACTCAAACCGACGTTGACGACCTGGTTTGCGATTCACACGGCTCTTGTTACATCAATCTCGTCAGTTCCAACCTAAGGGCCGCTGGGCCTGCCTCGGCTCCCCTGTTCAACGGAGCAACTAGTCATCTGCGCAGCTCCAGCTCCCAGCTCTGGCTCCAGCCAAGTCCCGAGTCTGATCAAGGGTTTGGTACCTGACAAGCCTCGTGGGACTTGGGCCGCAGTTGCATAATTGGGACTGAGACTGCTGCCTCGAGCTTTCTGAAACACAAACATTCATCCTATGGAGAGCCGTCATTGATCCGGCGTTCGTCCAAGGCACGGTGTCCTAGTTTGTGTGCTCTGTCCGCATCTGCTGTGGTGTTTGAGTCGGAGGACAGTGTGCTCGGCTGCGAGACGGCAAGCTTAGCTGACCACTTGCGCAGACGTTTTGTCTTGTTGGGCTGGATGTGCATAAACGGCGTCTAGTCACGAAGACACTCTCGTCCTTGTGCTCATCTTCACCCTGGCTGTCCATACTCGCCGCACTTACGGGGCACTCCCAAGGGAAACAAAAAGAGGAAAAAAAAAGTGAAAGAAAAACAACGACGACGACAGGTAGAAACAAGGGGACCATTTTCCATCTTGTCAGCTCACAGACAAAGATTATCCATCTGGGCATCATCAAAGTGGCCAACCTGTCTGTTCCACCGCTTTGCTTGCAGGGGTCCCGCCATCCGGTGGCTTCCATCATCTCCAAGTCCAAAAGCTCCGTCAGCACTCAGAGCTGCAGGAGAAGCAAAGCACAGACGAGCAGCGGGCCGCAGACCACTTTGACGGTTTTACATTTTTTTTTTTTTCGTCCCCCTCCAAAGCTGTCCCGTGCAGGGTGGTGCTTGAGTAATACGTCTAGATGGTACTTATTATACGCCCGACGCCAGCAGACTATTCAAGGAGTCGAACAAGTTCCATGTCGACACTTGGGACGTGGAACAACCCGGACACTCATACACTCATACACCCAGACATTCAGTCGCTCAGTCAGTCATAGCTGGGACGAACGAGTTACTCCGTACGGAGTACTACATGAAGCGTATACCTTGAGCACCCACCGTACATTCATTCATATTATATTACTCCATCCTGTCCCATTCCCGACGCTCTCCTCACTTGCATCTGTCCTGTCTGGTTCGTCCGAGACAGACCTGCCAATCGCAGCGTTTTGCCCCCGTTCGCGTTGTTTGTTACCCTCCCGACTGTCGGCCAGCCACGCTCTCACCTCTCTCCTTCTCCCTCTTCTATTGACGCTTTGTCACAGCTTCAGTCTGGCCTGTTCGCTCTGTCTGCGTTTTGTCTCTCTGCGTCTTCCACTGCTTCTCAATAGCTAGCCACGAGGTGTCCATGTGGATTGACTTTCACCACGAGGACGTATCGCCCCCCGACTGCTGCATCAGCATCTGAACATGATACCCAACACCACCAGGATTTCTTCTTCTCCGTGTTGGAGGTTTCTCCTTTGGGTGCTGACACCTTGACTCGACTTGTTCCGAGTGCCATTGACCGTACTGCTGCTTGTTTGACCGTTGTCTGCTTCATTTATTCACTTACCTACCCGCTGCCGCTCCACTGGTAGCTGCGCCTGGCAGTATTTCCCTGAGAGCACCGGACTGCACCAACACTCAACTTGGGACACTGAACAGTGTAGCCACAGCCGACATCTGGACGGCGAAGACGGACCGGATTCTTTCCCGAAAGCCGCAGGCACGTCAATTGTCGGAGTCTTGAGCATATATATTCACGACTGCATCCCCGGACCGAGCGTTGCGTTGAATTCTTTTTGGCTTCAGTTCTACTACCCGCTTCTCCCCGCCCGCGACATCAAAAAGTGCAGGAGCGACGAGCGCACACCAGCACCCGGCCAGAGCAACGCAGGGCAACAGCAGCAACAAGCTCTTGAGCGGGCTTTGGCTGACATCCGGACCCTCTTGCCTCTCCATCTCCTTCCCTTGCTATCACGCTCCCGCTCGTACCCCACAGACCTGCATTCGACCCTCCTCTGATAGGATCGTTGCACAGCGGACTGGTTTTGACGCCAGCCCAAATACGTTGTTTTCTCCAAAACGGTTTTCGGTTGGATTAAAAAAAAAGGCCATCCACCAGCATCAAGCATTGCCGTTTGTGCTTACTATACGTTTTTATCACTAGCTAGCCTAGACAATGGGCAAACGCAACAATCATCGGCGCCGACGGTTGACACCTTGCCTCAAGCTCTCCCGAGAGCGCTCCCGTATCAATCATTCATCGGGAGCTACGGGCCCAACGTCACCGCCAGAAACCCCCACTGGATCGCCACACATGGCCCGCAAGCCACCGCAACACTCGGCCGTTTACTTTGGCTACTCTGGTCGTCCACTGGAACAGGACCCTAACATCAAGCCGGTTGGTCATGGTCACCAATTTAGCTATCGGAGAGTTATTGGGCCGGAGCAGCTGAGCCCCAGGTCATCGTCATCGGATGAGTCTGAAGGAGAACAAGAACAAGCAGGAGAAGAGTTGGACGATGATTCGTCCGTGTCTGATATAGTACGGCCCCAGAGTATCATCAATTCTACTGCAGCGTCTTCTGAGGATGCATATTCTGGACCGGATGAGGCTTCCGGGGATGGAGATGATGAGCATGACGACGACGACGACGACGACGGCGACGACGACGGAGACGATGGAGTCTGCAGAGTGGGGGAAGAAGACTATGACGAAGCAGGAGAGGAAGAAGAACATGTGCAAATCAATGCGCGACCTTATTTCCGTCTACCTTCGCAATCTGAGTCGGTATCAATTTCAGCAGCAGGCTCAGAGGCGGGAGATGAAGCAGCCCGTCAGTCCCGAGCCGCAGCTGCACCCTCTAGCGCTACTTCGAGCTGTGGGTTCACAGTTGAAGACGTAGATCCCATGGACAGTGGCTGCGAGGGTCTCGAGGTTCTCCTTCCCACGGAGATTGAGTCCAATCGAAGTCGGTCAAGATCTCGTCACAAATACTTTGATAAAGGAATGGTGCGGGACTTTAAGAACCTCAATTGCAGCAACGACGTGTCGGAGAATGAAGTAGATGCCGAGGGTGAATTAGGTATGGATACTGAAAGGGTCTTTCTGAAGAAGCAGAAGGAGATGCGACGGATCAGAAGGGTTAGCATGTCGAGTACCGGGAAGCGAACGCACAGCGAGTTCAGCGAGTTCACCGACTCAGACAACTCTGACACCGGCGGTCTTGATGTCAACGAAGTTGGGTCGAGCGCGCGAAAATTGCGTAAACGCCTGCACCGAGGTAGCCTCCTTTTCCAAGATCCCCCCGCCCCACGTATCGACGAGCTTGATGAGCCGGACTCCAGCGAGAATGAATATGATGCTGCGGATCCACTGGCTCGCGAGCTTCCTTACTGGACAATGAAGACAATGGAGACAATGGAGATTCTGGAGGTGGAATCGCCATAAGGGCACAAATTATGCAACCTGGATACAACGCAATCGCAATACCTCAATGCTCGAAAGTCAAAATTTGATGATGGACGGAGTTATGATACATTGGACAACCTGCTAGGACTGAGATAAACACCCCTCACCACATGTTTTAAACGTGAGACACGTGTCTCTCACGCATGGTGGCGGTTGAGCAATCTCTGGACGGAAGCGGCTATGATGCACGATTACGAGTATGATCATGAATGTGTATAGAACGACGGATGACGACTATTATTGGTCGCAGTTCCACTTTGACCTGTTGCATCCTGTCCAGGCATCCGTGCAAGTTGCCGGGACTGGGGCTGTCAACCTCATGTATCGCTACCGCATGACGTTGTACGACCTGCGGCGAGGCTCCTATCTGACTTGGTGACACGGCACCGGCAAAGTGATAGTCTTTTCCAAACTCATCTTCGAAGCATACTTATATAGACCATATAGACTGACTTGAAACGACTATACTCTGCTTCATACTCCTCGCATGTTCCTCCAGTGCTTAATGGCGCGCAAAACCCTGCTATTAAAAACGTGAAGCTCGTCTTATTCTTGACTTGAACGCACAGAAGCTAGTACAATGATGTAAATTATTTTGATTACCTGATCTGGCCATTCTGTGTGACAACGACCATCTATTTAGTAGGCGCCAACGGCCACGCCTGCCATCTGGCTCTGATTCCCTCTTTCAAAATAGCGGCTTCGTTTGAAGACCCAGTGCCTTTGACCTTGAAAAGGTGGCTGGCTTACTGGCGTTATCTCAGCCATGGTGGCTTTTTGTGGATAAAGTTTCGAGGCGCGTTCCCAGGCTTGGGAAGACGCGGCGAGTCAGTCAATGCCCGAGAATAGCAAACACGGACCACAGTCATATTCGCAACTTGGCCGTGGCGGACATGCGTCTCCCCGAACCCGGGCTCCATTCGGCAATCACGATGTAAAAAGGCGGGGAAGCGAGATGCATCCAACATTTTCATCTCTCACAGCCACACGTCACTGACTCGGGTGTGCTGTCCTCATTCTGTCTGACAGCGCCGTCACTTGTTATCACATTTTTTTGCAGCCTATTACCCTTACCTAAACGATCAAGCCACAGTCCACATGACCATTGTCCCTCGTGGTCCAAGAAGTCCACATGGGTAGCGCCGGCTCTGGACCGCCACGGATTTTGTGAGCGAGCGGCCATTGGCCCCTGTTCTGTCTGCAATGTCAATGTTTGTGGCCACCCTTGCGTGTTTGATTACGGTCCGGCCGGCTGGGGTGTGCGTTTCGGAGGTAGTTCCTCTAAAGTTGATTCCGCCAGCGGAGCCGCCCGCAGCCCCGGAGGCGGCAACATGGAAGCCAGAACCTCAAGCGGCTGGGTAAGTTAGTTTGGCTGGGTCCCGATGCTGTGCGACGTGAAAAAGGCCCTGCCTATGCAGATGACGATGTGTCCGTATGACGAAATATCAGCGTGACACGGCGTTGGACATCTGTGACTTGGCCTCGAATTATGCGGGGAGGATATATTTCGGAAGACACTCGAGGAGATGACGTAGAGGAAGCAAGTTTATTGCTACCAGGGAGGAAAAATTCGGCTGCCTCCGGGACGGGATCGGATGGCCCTTGTCTGGATGGAGATGTGACAGGCAGCGGTTCGCGGTCGGATATGGGTTCCAGAAGCTTGGGGGAATTAGGAAGGTCTGCGATCTGGCAACGTTGAAGCGGGCGGAGAGAGATCTGCGTAAACGGTTTGCGGAATGATGCGTGAGCTTGTTATTTAAAGAGCTCGAAGGTGGGCGCTGTTTTGATCTTGACACTTTCCTAGCTGGCCATCTGAGTGCCATCTGCGGAGGAGCACTGGAGTAGGGCTGAAAGAAAAAAGAAGAGGAAAAAAAAACATCATGAGCTGTTCAGAGGGCTCTTGTTGTGGAAGGAGCGATGACTTTAGGTAGGCACGCACCTACCAGGTACTGAGGGTATGTACATGTGAGCGCTTGGGTTACTTTGAGAAGATGAAGTCGCTGCAGCGTACTCCGTACTCCATGTCTAGGCAGATGATAAATATGCAGCCAAGACGATGGATTTGAACGCCTCTGTTTTTATTTGACGGCGTGTCTCTGCACCTCTTCGGACCAATGCCGACGTCGATTTCAGTTCGTCGGCGGTCATGCCCCATCTCGCCTGGGTCTCGGAGCACCGCCGGTGATTATTCTACATACCTACCTAGGTAGGTACGTAGACACGCAACCCCATCCTCGCTGACCAAGGACAAGGTAAATTAGAAAAAAAAAAAAAAAAGACTGGTAGTATATGCAGCAACGCATATATTATTCATACACGGCTCGTCATGGAGGAACAAACAACACATGGGACATGGATCCTTTGTTTTCTGTCGGCTGCAAACGACCCTCTATGCATTCTCGTACCCTCTTATCAAATAATTTCCACAAGTTTCTGCGCGTTCTGCTCCGTGGGTCGCAGGGCCGACTGAAGCCATCTCGTTCTTCCCCCAAGCTTTGCCGTTAAGTGACATTCCGCCTTTGACGGGCGTGTCTTGTCCTCGGTGACTTGAGTAGGTCCCTCAATTCCCTGCGCCCCAATCCTGGCCACTAGCCACGATCTTCTCGTCTACCTGCACTTAGGAGTATAGCTTGCCATTTCTAGTCTTCATCATCTACCCACAGACTCGACTCGGCGTCCGTTCCAACATGCTGTCTCCATCCGCATCCCCCCCTCTTTTTTTTTCTTACTCTCACTCGTGTCTTGTAAGCCAAGGATGAGGGTTGCGCGGAATCTATTAATTAACTTGGTCCCTCCCATTCCTTCACTTTCTCTTCTCTCCTTCGTTCTTTCGTAAGACTCCATTCGTATCTCAACACTCGGTTCTCGGTACTCCTACGCCACCTGACACCGGCCCTGTCATCTTGGTGATTTTTTCCCGGCTCCACGCCATAACGTATTCATTCACCTTGACCTGCCCCTCTACATTTAGACTAAGGGCAAGACCAGGAAAAAAAAGGCAAAGCAACCCAAAAAAAAAAAAAAAAAAAAAACACCCACATTTCCGCATTCCTACAATGAATACCGATATTGTTCAGAGCCGGTTCCTTTCCAACCCGCAGGACCTTGGTGTCGTTGCGGTTGGCTTCTCCAAGGGTCAGGTACGTACTGCCAAATATCGCGACAATTTGCTGTCCATGTCTGGCAGCTGCGGAATGTAGTAGCATTTGACCCTCGTGGCCCTTGTTGACGCTACACCATTCGCTGCCCCTCCGTCTGCCCCTCCATCGCTTCGCTGCGTTCATGCACATGCAAGCCCTTCAAACCTCTCGTCATCCGTCCCCAGCTTGACTTATCATTGTGTGTCCTAGCTAACACACCATGTCTTTCGCAGCCCAAAGCTGGTGTCGACGCTGGCCCCGAAGCTCTCATCGACTCCGGCCTCCTTACCCAGATCAGGGAGGAGCTTGGCTACAAACTGCATGGTGACGCCAAGGTCCAAAAGTACGAGGAGCTGATTGCTACCACCGACGCCGACCACCGTGGCATGAAGAACCCTCTCACCACGTCGGCCGTCAACCGCAAGATCTCCCAGCAGGTCTACGAGCACGCCAAGGAGGGGCGTCTCGTCCTGACTCTTGGTGGTGACCACAGCGTTGCCATTGGCACTGTCACTGGCAGTGCCAAGGCTGTTCGCGAGCGTCTGAACCGAGAGATTGCTCTCATTTGGGTTGATGCTCACGCCGACATCAACACTCCCGAGGTCAGCGACAGTGGTAACATCCACGGCATGCCTGTTGCTTTTGCCTCTGGCCTGGCCAAAGACGACAAGGAGGAGTACTTTGGCTGGATCAAGGATGACATGCTACTCAATGTCAAGAAGCTTGTCTACATTGGCCTTCGCGATGTCGACAAAGCCGAGAAGCAAATCCTTCGTGAAAACGGCATCAAGGCTTTCAGCATGTTCGACGTTGACCGGTAAGCCCTAGACTTTGCACCATGCGTTCACATAGCCACGGTTGCCGCAATACTGACCTGTAACGTGTGCCAGCTACGGTATCGGCCGCGTTGTCGAGATGGCTCTCGCCTACATTGGTGCCGACACCCCCATCCACCTGTCCTTCGACGTCGACGCTCTCGACCCCATGTGGGCTCCCAGCACCGGCACTCCCGTGCGCGGCGGTCTGACTCTCCGCGAGGGCGACTACATTTGTGAAGCTGTACACCAGACTGGTTCCTTGGTAGCCATTGATCTCGTCGAGGTCAACCCCAGCTTAGCCGCCACCGAGGCTGGTGCCCAGGAGACTGTTCGAGCTGGCTGCTCCCTAGTGCGCTGTGCTCTTGGCGAGACACTTTTGTAAGCAGTTTTGTAGGACTATTTGGGGATATGCTACTTTTGCTGGCGATGCGAAAAGAAAGCGTAGACAATAGATTTATACCACTGTTCGAGACATGACACGAGACGATGACGGCGCACTTTGCAACAAGGGTGGTTATGGGACTATTGGAGAATTGTACATAGAATTGGTGACGTATCTTGAGAAAGTCAATTGGTTGTGCCTTTTTTGGCTGGTGGTTTGTGGTTGAAGACCAAGGATTTGTAGTTTTGTCAATGTCCTTTTTGGGTCTTGTTGATGGGTAAGACTGCAGCTTTTATCTCGACAGTGCCGAGTGAACAGACTGAAGTGTGCTAATTGGGTGTCATACTTGATCTGGTAGGATGGGAAGCAAAGCAGGAAAATGCGCCCTTTTGCACAGTTCGTTGCCAAGCGTACTTAAGTAGTGATTGATGTGCAGCAATGGTGTAGTGTAGACTCTGGAATAGTATAGAAGGCGAAGCGCAATTGTATTGACATGATGGTGGTACCTCTTGTTGCTCAGATGATGCCCGTCATTCCAACCGTGGCTGCTTGGGATACGAGGCAAGCACTTGCTACCGTCTCTGTCGTTGCCAGATTCAGGAAAAGATTGGAGTCGTCCTGTCCTTTGTTGGGAGAATACCTACCGGTTGACCTCTCATGTAGGTGCACATGTGGATCCCTGATTAGTGACTTGAAACAATCAATCAATCAATACTTTTCACATGACAAAGAAGAAGTCGTCAATGGAACTACAGGGAAAAAGACGAGAATGCATACCACCCGACCATTGCTCGCCTCCTGACCTGACCCGACCATTGTAATTGACCTGACCTGACCACTGGTCTTGCCTAATTCGTCAATCATATCCCTTGTTTAACCTCAACCCTAACCTAACTAACCCTAACCGCGAAACTCCTAGGGGGATGTCCACTATGAGCTCCACTATAACTCCACTAGATTCCACCCAAAATAGTAATAGCAATGGGCAGGTCAGCAATGGTCGGGTCATCTACACTCTCGGAAAAGAGACGATGTCAAGTCTGGCACGATTCAAAAAGTAATTGTAGGTGGTGGCCTGATTTGCTGGTGGGTTGCGCTTCTGAAGTCGCTCTCTTGCAACTACTAGACCTCTCTGTGTATTTTTTTTTACAAATTGACGTTATGTATGGTTAGTGCCTTGCAGCAGCTTCTGGGGGTTAGTTACTGACCCGGCCATAGTTGACATTTATGCCGTCTGGATTTCCATGGACGCGGCACCGGATGTTGGCGCGTGGTCGGCGTCTGGTTGTGGGACAGCAGTAAGCGGTGAAAGGGAGGCCAGGCCCCACTGGCTACTGAGCCGATAAGCCTAGTGCTGCCTAAGTGCCTATGAAATGTCAACTTGTGCCTGGCCTGCTCAAGTGGCGGGACCGGCATTGAGGCATTGATTCAGGGACATGGGAAGCATTGAGGTGTTGGCGGCCCAGGTTCCCGAGTTTGCCCTTCTCAGGCACCCCATGGCCAAGCCCATCCAGTCGAAGGGACGGACGGGAGGAGAGATCTGGCATGACTGACAATTATAGAGAGGCCGTGTTTCCCTTTGGTGCTGGCCGAGCCCAAGTGGTTTATTCAAGCCTTCATGCCGAGGCTCCTATTTCCGACACGACTCTTTTTTTTGGGCTCCGTTTCTTGGTAGCTGCTATATTGTCCAAGTACTCCGTACCATGCTTGACATAATACAAGTTACGTTCCACTTCCACATAGGGCGTCACCGCCAAAGCACACTCGGTACGGAGTCAGCAGAGTACTAAGACACAAGGGCTCGCGGGAGGAGCTCGAGTCGAACGATATCGCAGCTCTTCTGGCCATCTTTCCAGCCATCTTGATAGTGACGAATGGCTCCGGCGTCAACCTGGCGCAGCGTCTGGCCCAATGACAAGCCGCAGGAGGGAAACAAGGGGGCAACGCATCGGCGCCGCCACGGGAAGCGAACCACCAAGAACCATCTTTGTTCCCCCCGGAGCGGAGAAATGACTGTAAATAGCTGTCCGTGGTGGAGAGGAAGCACCCTTGGGCTCTGAGAGACACTCATGTTGGCGTCTCCGGTTCGCCGTGGCCGGGGACAACCCGACTCCAGCGCGGCCCAGCGTCTCAGTGCTCCCAGGTTGGGCCACGCATCACGCATCACCGAGCTCTGCTGACTTATCCGCGCTCCTTCCTGACGTGGCAGCAAAAGCCTGGCTTGATCCAAGTCCTGTTGGGCACGCTGTGGGCTCTTTTTTTTTTTTTGCCGTGTTATTCACTTATATTATTATTGGTATTATTTTTTTCTTGGCTTGTGACCCATTGCAAAAAGTTGAAACGGGCATGGTGCGGCCCGCATCCGAGCTTCGGAACGGCCATCTATATATTTCGCCCGCGGCCCGTCTTGAAGCTTATCGCTGCCACTTGGGCTCTTTTTCTTTGCAAAACAACCTCGCGGGGCAAGCGTCATACCAGGCCCGGCGACGACAACGACGCCGTGCGGGCTGATCAAACCGATTTGAGGAGGAACCTTGGTCCGAAGACGCGAAACAACCGTTGGGTCGGGTTGAGGTGTTTGGGCCCGACTCTGTCGTCCCCACGAACGGCAGACGCTTCGGCTCTTCTTTCCTGCCTGGTGTGAATATTGACGAGTCTTGCGAGCGAAAGGAATCCGTCACAGAAAAACCGCCACAATGAAAAGTAGACTGGTGTCGTCGCTGAGCGGCAGCTCGATTGTCTACGAGCGAAGGGCCGTGAGCCAGATACGCACGTATAACTGGCCGCCGCTGCAGCTCAATTTCTGGATCTTTGTCATGCTGCTGTCGGCATCCAGCATCGTCGGCGTGTTTTCGTCCTTTATCCAGATCCAGACGCAGTTGGACCTGCCCATACCTTGGTACGTGTACAGTTTTTATTTATTTTTTATTTACATGTAATGGTTCCGCTCGCCTCGGCCACGGATTCTCTGCTTACCAATTGTGCTTCTGCAACAGGTACTTTCCTTACTTTATAACCGTTGGATCCGGGGCCATACTCTTCATGGGCTTCATCTTCTGGCTCATTGCGACTCGCCGGCTATTGCCAGCCATTGTCATGATCGGCGCCTTTATGCTCTTCGTCTTGTGGCTTGTCGGCTTGGTTATCGTGTCGGTTCAGCTTTGGGGGCCGAGCGGCTCTATCCAGAGCACCTGCAACCTGCAGGTGTTTAATAGGAGCCCCCATGGGCTGACTCAGGAGACGCTGGCGTGGATGCAGCAGAAGAATATATGTGAGTTGAATTCGCCTGTTTGTTACATGTACAGTGTTACTAGATGCCCTTGATCTAGCTCTTTTTTTTTTTTTTTTTTTTTTTAATTTAAAAAAATTTAATTGTTTCCATGCATAAAAGACTCCATGCCACGGCACCATCGCTAATCGGACATATAGGTCAATGTTGGCACTTTGTGTTTGCCATGTCGCTGACAGGAATCATCTTTTTGGTTTGGGTCATGATTATGGCCTACCAGGTGTTTGTCAATTCATGACCAGGTCCAACGAGACTGTATAGTATTGGCCAGTTGGGGTGTTTGTTTTTCCCGTTTTCGGTTCTTTATCTAGCTTTTTTTTTTTTTTTTTTTTTTTTTCAATTCAAAGAATATAAATGTTTCCATGCATAAAAGACTCCATGCCACGGCACCATCGCTAATCGGACATATAGGTCAATGTTGGCACTTTGTGTTTGCCATGTCGCTGACAGGAATCATCTTTTTGGTTTGGGTCATGATTATGGCCTACCAGGTGTTTGTCAATTCATGACCAGGTCCAACGAGACTGTATAGTATTGGCCAGTTGGGGTGTTTGTTTTTCCCGTTTTCGGTTTGGCGTATGTTATTGGCGATAAAAAGGCAAAGGGTTAATGGGAGCAGTCAGTCATTCAAATCTTCTCATTTGTTTGTGTGTATGAGTAATGGGTGACGACGGCGACGTTGGAATTTCCTGTGTATGACAAGATGGCTAGGGGGGTGGGAAATTGGTGTTTTCCTTTGGAACAGATATTTGGCGGCTTCCACAGCCTGTATTTCCTTCTTTCTTTTTTAAATTGCTCGGCTGAGGAGCCAATTACTACAGAATGGAGCCAGCTGCTCCTGTTGATGGGAACAGTAACTTGACCTTTGTGTTCTGTGATCTGTAGAGGTGGCCAGCTTGTGATACTCACCGAAGCTGATGCTGCTTTCAGCCAAACAGACATTTCTTCGTGCAAGCTTTGGTGGCTTGTGGGCCAGTTACTGGCAAATGATGAGCCCATGTGCCGGGAGCCCGCGAAGCTTACAAAATCCCTGAGCGCCATGTCTGGTGGGCGACGTAGCTGCCCCTCAATTCCACAAGCCATCATCCATCCATCAGGTCGATTCGACTCTCCGTCTCCGTCCCCTCGCCGTTGCCCCCCTTCCTCTTGACCAGTCCCTGCATCAGCAGTATGCAGAAGTGAACCCTGACAACCTCGACGCTTTCAATAGTCGAGGGTCTGATTTGTGGACATAAAAAAAACCTCCAGAAGAGGCGCAGCCATCATACGGGGCATCTCGCCCATCACGACTTGGCGGGGCCGATTTCTTGGGAGGGCCAAGAAGCAGCTAGCATCCATCGTTGGCCATATCGGGAATATCGGCAGCCTGTCGGGAGGAACCATTGATGGGTCGAATCCCTTGTGCGCCTCCTAGGAACCCAGCTAGCTTGTTGGATACAAGTACCCCGAATCCCAGGACGCAACGTGCGTGTCGGCGTCATGCTCAGACGATTGGCCTGTCCGTTTATTCTTCATTCGTCAGAGTTTCCAGCCGACCAGGGCAAACCAGCGAGCCTTTGCGTCCTGGACCTACCTACCACGACAGCGCCATTGTGGGCAAATCCGAGGCTTCGAAGACGCAAGACACACAGAGAGAAGAGGAAGGGGGGGG